TGATTTCTTTCATGACAATATCCAAAACTGGAAAATAAATGGAGATCCGGTAATAGGACTTTTCATCATGAAACTCTGGAAAAACATGACCACCTYCAAGTTTTTTATAGGAAATCTTTCTATTACGAGGAAGTTTTGGTGGTAGAAATCCATTATTTTTTACCAAATCTTGCGAGGATTCCCAACATTTATTGAAACTTTCATCTGAACGTAAGTCTTGCAATGAGTCGTAAGTTTTGATTGACATTTCCTTAACAAGTGCATAGTTTATTGATGGTGACTGTAAATATTTAGAGAGTATGTTTGTTTGTTCAAGCACAGTTTTTAATAAAAACAAACAAAATATAAATTCAAAATGAAGTATRCAATTCAACAAATTGTTTGCTTCTGATCCATAATTCACATCATTATCAGAAATATTTTGTAGTGTTTGAACAATAACAGGCAAAGTGTTAATAACTGAATTGATTGCTTCAATGCGACAGTTCCACCTTGTATCGCTTAAAGATTTTAATTTAGTTTTTTGAGACATATTTATTGAACTTGTTGATAATATTTTTTCAAAAACACTATTTCTCTTTGATGATGCACCCATAAATGAATATAAAGTTTGTAGAGTTCCAAATGTATTTCTTACAAATGATSATTGTTTCGAAAGGTCTACAAGACATAAATTTAAAATATGTGCATAACAATGCACATAAATAGCAAATTTATTTTCCGATCGGATTCTAGCTTGGACACCTGTATATGAACCTCGCATAGATGCAGCACCATCGTAACACTGTCCTCTGATGTTTTGAATACTTAAATTATTTGTTTGTAAAAACTGTTTTATAAGATTTACTAACGTTTCACCATCAGTTTTATCGGTGCGATAAAAGCCCAAGAAAACTTCATGGGTAATAAATAGTTTTGAAACATATCGAATACATATGGCCACTTGCTCATGCTTAGCCAAGTCCTGTGTTTCATCAACCATAATACTAAAAAATTTGGAATCCTGGATATCTCTAATTATTGATTGTAAAACATCTTTCCCCATGTACTCTATAAACATATTTAAGTATGAAGGATTTACATATCTAAAACTTTTTTCTTTTTCAATAAAGTATTGTTTAATAATAGTATTATCTTTAGCTCTTAATTCCATAAGTTCCAAGAAATTACCTTTATTTAAAGAGTTATCATCTTCCCGATGACCCCTAACGGCAATACCTTGTCGACAACAGTACAATAAGCTATCTAATAGGCAATTAAAATATAATCTATTATTTTCAACTTCTATGCTATATTGTTTGTTTACTTGGACGGTCACATCACCAACAATTACAGTTGATTTCAGTCCAGCTATTTTTACTGTAGATTCTTTGTGAGGAATACTAGATTGATGTTTATTAAAACTTCTTATAGCTTTAGGCCAGTTTTTAAAGCCAACATTAACAAATGCTGGTTCAGTATGTTGACCCCTACATGCTTTGTTAGTTAGACTTGGAAACGCTCTACATGAATAACAGTAAACTGCCTGACTAGTAGGACTGTACTCTAACCATGGATATAAATCATACCAAGAGATAAGAAATGATCGGTTTTTGTTCACTTCAAACTTGATATCCTTTGGTTGAAATGGTCCTTTATTTTGTAGTACTTTTTCATAAGCTCTTTTAATGTCTGATGCTGGATCGTCTTCATGTATGACACTACATCCAGAATATRAAGCACATTCTAAAAAAAATATGTGTTGAAATTAATTATTGTTGAGAATCTAGAACATTTTATCATTTTATTCAATTAGTAAGTTAATAAAGTTAATTTAATTTTTACATTATTTTATAGTTTATATCTAATTAAAACTGCAACACAGTTTATATTTTAAAAATAACACCACACAAAAGACAATTTTTATAACTATTTACCTGGATCTGAATCTGGTAGTAGTGATGATTGCGTTAATTCCGATTTAAATCGTGTTCGTGGATTGTATGAACTACCTGTACTTTCAGTACTKTGATCCCTGTTGGCTTTTGTTTTAGAGCCAGAAAGCCATTTTAATAAGCTCATTTTGACGAAATACTAAGATTTGTCAAGTCAATAAAAATGATAAAAAGTTTTGAAGTAAAACCACAGTCCACGCTACAACAGTACTACAAATAATAATAACAAACCAAAATTCAAAATGATGAAACAATTTAAAATGTTAACAAGGATAAACCATTTTCTCGTTAGTCGTTATTGTAATG